TTTTACAAGGAAACTAGTGTTAATTTATGATCATATTAATGAATGATGAATTATGAGTTATGTGATGATGATTTGTGATGATTTAGGTGAGTGATGCCTATTCTAGAGTGATAAATTGCATGTATGAATTGTTTTGTTGAATTTGACTTATTGGTTTGTGATTTTCAGATGTCTACCTTAATGTCATATGTGAATTTAATTGTGTAACCTAATTGAACTTGTCTAGGGAAAGTTTGGTAAACTTATGAATGTTCTAATTTAAAATAAGTGAAAAGCCTAGATAAGTTGGTTAAAGATATTGTAACATAAACTGATTTACATAATTATGTAGATTCATTAGGCGAGCACATGGCTCGCGGAGTGAGAGTGCATAATTTGCAACTCAAAAAGCTCTAAAATTTCAAACTCGTTGCGTGAGAAGGTTTCACTCAACAAACTTATAAGGAATTTAGTCTTATTACTCTCTCGCTAAGTGAGCTTGTAAGTTGCTCAAGTAGAAGATTTTAAGCAAAGTTACACAGCATCAAAGCCTTCTCGTTAGACGAATATTGTGGTTGCTAAGGGAGTCTCCTCCAAGGTGATACTCATTAGACGAGACATGATTTCACTAAGCAAGACTTACTAATTTGAAATAGTATAATTAGTTTAATTTTGATATATCTATTAGGATTTATTTGAATTGTTTAAAATGAGGAAATAATGATTCCTATTGTAAGAATAATATCATGAGTTAGTTTTGTATGGGGTGCATAGGGACTAAAATGAACTCATCTTGACTTTATTAGTAATTGGATTCATATAGATGAGAATAATTAGTTATGAGAGTCAAGAGAGGTTCATATCTAGAGTATCACTAGTTGTCAAACTTGTGAGATATATAATTTGCCTTGTTGCGCTTTATGGATCAGGAACGACCTGTATATAGTATAGCTATAACTTTTGAGAGATATAAGTGATTGAATAATGATAGGTACATAGTCTTAGAATACTAGTCAATACACCACTTATTCAAAGATTGAGTTTATAGTTTTTGGTATATGAATAAGTTATGAGAGTTTTCATACTTGAATGTTGATTGTATAATTTGTAAAAACTATGTAATCATTTTCTGAATTGCTAAATATACTATCTTTTTAATTAAAATTATAAGTTTTAAATGATTTCTAACTTAACTTGTATGTATTTATGTAAAATTATTATCCATCTCTTATGATTGTCAACATCACGAAAATAGAAGATAATGTAAAATATGAAAAGCAAAGTCTATATCGAAAGTAAAATATATAAATAAAGTAAGTAAAATATATAAATAAAGTAATGTAAATATAGTTTGTAATAATATTATGCACTAGTTATTATTGAAATACTATATATTCTATTTAATGTTAAAAGAAGATTGTACATAACATTATTAACTTTATATTTATTCATTTGATATAATTATGTTATTAGCTTTTGATAGTAGTTTTGAATACTACTATTGAGTTGTTACACTACTCTATTTAATCATATATATATATATATATATATATATATATATATATATATATATATATATATATAAACTAAACATATGTACACAACATATTAACCTTATAATTATGTTAATATTAGATTTTAACTTTATTATTAATTGAACATATGGAACGTCCCAGATTATATAGAAATATAATGTAGTAGGTCCACATTTTTATATAATAGAACAATTAGAATAGACTTGCAAATAAGTTGTTAAGGTTACAGTCATCTCAAATTAAGCCATAATTTAAAACTTTAATGCATTAGAGTATTTTCAAATAAACAGGAACAACTAGGAATCCTAACTAGACTAGGCGGCATCGTCATCTCCCTCCAAGGCCTGCTCCAGAGGCACCTCATCCATCTCTACTCACATCCAAGTGGATGATCATTGCAAAAGAAAAGCACACACAAGCAACACAAACACAAAAGCAAGGGTGAGCTAGATATTCAAAAATCATGTTATAACAATCACACACAACATGCAAGTTTAATTCAAAGTTAATGAACCATACAACACCTCTTGTTACACTTTACACTTGACTCGTCTAGACTTAGAATGATTGCTGAGCTATGGCGGGTCATGCACTCGTGGTGGCTTCTACTGCTTTGCAAAGCCATTGCCAATGGGTTTCACCCTACCACACTCACGAGGTTAGTCTGTACCGCGCCTTGGAGCACACTGGGAGCCTCCAAGACTAAGACCTCCTGCTACTGCTCATGACATGATTCAATCCTCTCTACTTGAGAATGATTGACCATTGTAGTTTCAGGATAACCCCTAAGACTGAGCTTCCATGCAAATCATTCTAAACGCACTAAAAAGGCACCACCATGTATCCCCCCTTGAGGATCATGGAATTACGTCCAATACTGATACTTTTCACTTTAACACCAACATGATAATGCATACATAAGCCCTTAAAGCAATTGGAACAATTAATTAAAATAGCATATTGGGATAAATAGAAATATAGGCCGAACAGAACACATCAACACATAATGAGCAAGACCGAACACACTGTGAATGGTGGAGACCGAACGGTATCTCACTTCCCAAAGGACAGGACCGAACGGTCCATAAAAGATAAGATTGAAGAAGTGGCCGAACACTATTTAGGACCGACCACTAAGAGAGACCGAATACTTCATATTAAGATCAAACCGAATAGAAAACACCCATAACATGTAAATATGACCGAACGATAATTTAAAGAGTAAGGCTCAAACATGAGCCGAATATAGTCTAAGGTCAAACGCTACCAAGACTGAGTGCTACTAAGACCAAACGCTACCAAGACTGTGTGCTTCTAAGACCGAACGTTACCAAGATCGAGTGCTACTTAGACCGAACGCTACCAATACCGAGTGCTACTAAGACCAAACGCTACCAAGACCGTGTGCTACTAAGACCGAACACAAGAGGAAGACCACCCACACTTAATACCAAACGGTCATGAACTGGTAAGGCTCTAAAGAGATCGACCCAGTTATGACCGAGAGCAAAACAAGGCCAAACGGTCAACACTAACCATTTCAGCGTTCTGCATAATTCTGTAGAGCTTCTGCAGAATTATGAACAACACCTAACATAACCATTTCTAACCATTTTTACTAACTTCTAACACCCTTAATTCTTGTTTTATACTTAATTAAACTTATCTAGGTGATTCTAAACATTCCTACTACCATTCTAAAGTGATTAAAACTCAATTTCAACTTTAAAACACCAATTTTCCCCAACTTAGGGATCCAAAACCCAATCCTACTACTTTGCACCTATTTTGATCAATTTAGTGACTCAAACAAGTCACAATACACTAGCTAAGACTGTCCCAACAGCCCAATTGCGCTTTAGGCCCCAAATGCCCAAAATCACTACCTCACTTCCCCTAATTTGCCCTAAAACACTATAATTTCACTTAACTTTCCATTTCATTCAAGCTATAATAGATTTATCACTCCAAGCACTTCCAACACGCCCAATTACAGCAGCTAGATTCAACCAATTCAGTTTACAGACCTCACGCTACAGTTTCATACACCACACGCATCAACATGTATGACCCAATTTACTTTAGAGCTTAAACAAGCAAACCAAACAGCACACTCATTAAATAATTTAACATTCATACAAATAATGGAAGCAAATTCAAAATAATATCTAGCTCCCCTTACCTTAGGGTTTCACAACTAAGCTCACAACTTGATTCAACAGTGCCTGACTTAGCAAGAACTCAACCAAACCCTACAAATCACCCAATGGGTGATAGAACAGCTCTTTAGATCTATGTTTTGACAAGAAATTGAAGGAGAATGTTTCTAGTTACATGAAATCAGTAGAATAGCACGCCCTAGGTTCCAAAACAGAGAGGAAAAGGGAGAACTACTTACCGGTCCGAATGAAAGAAGTAATCGGTTCAAAATAAAGCCCTCTACACTATGGACACTAGGGCACCACCTAAATGGACATGCATTAAGTTAGTGAGTGTGAAGGTTAGAGAGAAGGCAGAGGAACTTGAAATTTTGAGTTATAGAGAGAGGTTGGGTGTTTATGCTAATGAACCAAGATATATTTATAATCCATTTATATTAAAATAAAATCTGGTCTCATTAGTATAATAAACATATTCACTCTTTTAACCTCTTTTCCAGGTTCTCACAACATATACAGAAAAATATAATTTTAAAGGCTAAATAATTAAACGTCCGTAGAAAAATGAAGTAACAAATTGAAGTAATTTTTAAAAGAAAAAGTCTAGAAAATAAATTTCATTAATTTTTTAAAGTTAAAATTTGTTTAGATTTATTTAATAATAGTTAACAAAATTTAGATTTACTTAATAATAAAAAATAATAATGTATATGTCCAAATAAAAAATTACGCATGGTTTTAAATACATCATAATAAGATTTCATATTACTATTATTATATTTCTTTTGAATAATATTTTATTTGATAACTTGGTAAAAATTTATTTGATAAAAAAACCGTGTCGTTGCTGAGTCTGCAAATTCCATGTAGAAAAGATGCCACATAAGGAGACAGATGGCGAAATTTCAGGCTACATTTTCTTATAATTAGAATTTCCCTGCCTTCAGCATTAGCATGCACTTACTCTATCAATAAATCGCAGGGGTTTGATTTATCGAACGACCATCCATAAATTAAAATTCAAATACACAATTGAAGTGCGAATCATCTGATCTATATTAACGGTCATGATTCATCTAGTGCACGAAGATGTAACAGAGTAACCGCAGGGTCAATATCCTCTGCATGTTTGAGCCGCCACTTTGGCAGTGCTGTGTAATAATTATGATAGGTAGCTGAGTCAAGTCAAACCCGCAACCCTTGACCCATTTTTGATGTGCTTTTTTTTCCACGGTCAAAGGTCAACCTTTGGCTACTGAGTCGTAGCTTCCAAAGACATGGGTGGTGTGCATGCCATAGCACACATAAATAAAGTGCATCACTTCCTCTCTTTTCTCTCTCCATTTTCAAACTCAACAACAACATCAAAAGCATCAACCTTCTTCATTCATACCTCATTTCTTGAGCATGTCTTTCAGTTTCACTGACCTACTTTCTAACAGCAATAGCTTAACCCTGGATGATGATCCTTTTGGACTTGAATTTGCTAACACTTTCAAACAACTTCAACCTCTCCCTTCTTATTCTGAGTTCCCACCTGGTTTTGCTCCAACAACACAGTCATTGAACTCACCCCTCTTGTTTTCTTCTCTAAATGTAAGTTTTACCATCAGTTATCGCCATTATTGTACTTGATGAAAAAGTGTTTTTCCTTTGGGTATAGTAGTTCTGCCACCTGTTTATCGGTGATAGGATTGACTTTCATAAAAGTTATCTGTAGTTTTGTGCTAAAGTACTGTCGGAAGAATTCTCCTACACAATTTAATAAAAATAAATATGAAATCTGAGTTCCCTCTAAAGATAGCATGTAATAATAGTAATAACTAATAGTTCTTGTTATTGGTCAATGAAATGTTTTTTGTAACGGTATGGTGTTCTTGTTTTATATGTTGGTTTAGAATTTGAGGTGGTCTTTTGTATCACTCCAATGTTATGTTCTTTTGGAAAACTAACTGTGGGGTATTTTCGTTTTGTGTGTTTGGTTTGGTTCAGGTTCCTGCATCTTACTCAACTGAGTCATCTTCCAGCATGAACTTCAACATGAGAAACAGTTCAACTGTGGACCAGCTAGGAAACAAGGAGGAAGAGAGAAACTACTCTGACTTCTCTTTCCTAACAAAAGCAAACCACGTGCCTCTCTTTCAATCTTCCACAAGCATGTTTCAAGTGGTAAGTTGTATTGTTTTTCTATATAAATTTGACTTAAAAGAACATAATTTGGGGTGTATTTCTTTTTCTGGTTATTTATTTGATGATTCAGGGGTGTGAGACCATTTCTTGTTCAATCTGTTTACCTTGACTTGCTTGGACCAATTTGTCTCATTAGCATATGCTATTTATTTCATTACCATATGCTATTTGTTTAATCTGCTGTCTTCTTTTAGTTCTTCACTTTTCTTGATTTATTTAATTTTGAATTTTGGTTGGTACAAGCTTGTTTGAACAATTCAAAACTTAGACTACGGTATTCCAAGTTGACTGAATCAAACTTGAAAGTATATATGTCCGTGCATGTTCTCAGAAATTCTTACCTACTTTCAATATATATATATCTCTTATTTTATGCCAATTGATATAAATTTTGTAGGTCATTTCTGTCTGCATAATAAAACGTTTCTGAAGATCACTTGGCTAAAATTAAATGCCATTGAACTTACTTAACACATAAGAACTTATCAGCAAGTTTCCAAGTTGTTGATTCTTTGGAATGGAATATGTTACTCTTGGATTTACTTAATTATGTTTTCTAATCTTTGTTCCACTTGAACAACAGGAGCCATTAAAGAAACAGGACACAATGATATTCAATGAAGCTGCAAAGCAAACAGATTTCTCATCTGAGAGGACAGAAACAAAATCTGAATATGCAACAACTCAGGGCTTCTCCACAGAAGTTGTCTCAATCAAACCTGAAATACAAAGCAATTCTACTTCTGGGTCTGTTCAATTTAACTCCAACAATGCTTTTAAGTCCATTAGAAAACAAGGAAAATCAGAAGATGGGTACAATTGGAGGAAGTATGGAGAGAAACAAGTGAAAGGAAGTGAGAATCCACGCAGTTATTACAAGTGCACTTATCCAAATTGTCCAACAAAGAAGAAAGTTGAGAGGTCTTTGGAGGGACATGTTACCGAAATAGTATACAGGGGAAGTCACAATCATCCTAAGCCACATAATAGAAAAAATGGCTCTCAATCAATGCATCAAACTTCTTCATCCTGTACCATCTCTGGGATTTCAGATCAGTCTATGGGAGAGGAAGACTTTGAGCAAACATCACAAACTAGTTGCTCTGGAGGTGTTGATGATGATGACTTTGGTCATGAGGCCAAAAGATGGTAAGATAAGCAAATGAAAGATACTTCACTCAAATAATCTTGTATTATGGGAAAGAAACTACATGATGAGCTTGATTTCAGTGTGACTAATTATGATTATGATTCTCATTTTCCAGGAAAGGAGAGAATGAAAATGATGACTATTCTAATTCCTCAGCTGGGAGTAGAACTGTTAAGGAACCTAGAGTTGTGGTTCAAACCACAAGTGAAATTGACATACTAGATGATGGATATAGGTCGAGGAAATATGGACGGAAAGTGGTCAAAGGAAACCCAAACCCAAGGTATTTCCATTTTTCAGATGGTACTAGAAGAATTTAACTGTCATACAATGTTATTGTAAACATTTTTATTATGAAGGCCAATAAACATGTCATATCTGATGATCAGTCATACTCTCTTGGGCATTTCAATCATGATTATTCTGCCAAGTGAAGTTGAAATAGAACTGAAGAAAACAAGCAACACCCTTTTGCTATATGCCTTTTTTAGTGTTGCAATTCATCATTACCACCCCATAAGGTCATGATTTACTCAAAACATTCTTTCTGCAGGAGTTACTACAAATGCGTTGCCCCAGGTTGTCCAGTGAGAAAACATGTTGAGAGAGCTGCAAATGACATGAAAGCTGTGCTAACAACCTATGAAGGGAAACATAACCATGATGTTCCTTTAGGACGAGGAAATGCAAGCTATTATAGAGCTTCTCTAAACAACAACACCAGCAATGTAACAGCACCTGCCCCAATAAGGCCTTCAGCAGTGAATAATTATTCTAACTCAGTAAATTTCATCAATTCACTCCCAGACACAAAGCTCTCAGCATCTGCAAATCAAGAAGCTGTTCCGATGGACATGTTGCTGAGCCCTGGAAGCCTAGGATTTTCGTCTAATGACTCATTCCTTCAGTCTTTTTTTTCAAAGAACTTCTAAATTTGGAAGTGGACACTTGAACCTTACACGTGATAATATTGCTGATATAGTGTTTGTGTATAGCATATAGGAATAGAATAAGAAAATCATGGGAATCTACTAATTTAGTGTACTAAGATTAGAGACTAGAACTGCAGTAAAGCTTGACAAAAGTTAGGCCTTATTTCAACTTTCAATTTAGTAATAGGAGACACAGAAAACGTGTTGACTTTGAATTCCATTATTCTTTTGTTGCTTCTGTTTTATAACGAATAAAAGGTTTCTTTTGTTATGTCTCACTACATTCATTTACTTTCTAAAGTTTATGCTAGTCTTGGCAATTTCTAGTCTGGTATGCAAATGTCTACTACTATTATGTCTCAGTGATTTTTGTGTGTTTTTGTAACATTTCGATCAAAGTTCTGTTTTTTTTCAAATTATGAAGTATTCAGCTACTTCTAGTATGGCTATTGGAGTCAAGGGATGAAGAAAATTTGAGAAAGACCAATAAATTGAATTTGTAAAGATTTTGTAGTATCAAGTTTATGTGTAATTTTTTAATAATCCATTGATAAAAATTGTTCTCATGTTTACTCTTCAGGACTTTTCATCAATTGGCATGTGAGTCCATAATTCATCTCATGAATAATTTGTCAAACTCTAGAAGAAAAGCTAATATTATACTATTTTAACTATTATTATATTATTAGATAAACCTTGTATAAGTCCTACTAAATAATAAATGAAATTAAATAGATTAAAAAATAGCCTTTCATTGAACATGTGGCCATTAAAGGTCAAAGTATAATAATCAAAATTATACTATTAAAAAAAAGACAGTTCTAATGTTCATTTTTTTCAATCACTACAAAATCCCAAATTAGGGAAAACTATCAACACCATTACCAGACTGTATACTGGGACAAAAGAAATTTGTATTACAATCTCATATTATTACAACCTTTGCAAACACTCAAGAAAGAGAGAATGATATAAACATAATAAACATTAGGGGCAAATATATACAAGAAAACTCACTGCTTTTAACCTTAAAGCAATAAACAATAGGTTTGTTGGTCTTTTTCCATTTAGCTTTATCATTTCTATTCAATGTAGCATTCACACTCACACTCGAATTACTAACACTTGCAACACTTGAATTACTAACCATTGCAACAAGTGCAAAGACTTTAAAATGAAAGCGGATTTTAAATTTCTTATACTCAATAGAAAGTTCTTTACTTATATTCAGTGATAGGAGAAAAATTTAACTACTAAGGGTGCTTATGTATAAGTTTGTGTTGACAGTTTGTATCTTGATATGATAATTGATAGTGCTATACACCAGAAGGCAAAACAGGAGAAGGCAATGGCTGCAGCTGAAGAGTTTTTAAATATGCTGTCATCAGTTTCCCTCTTTCTATTTGTTATTAGCGGAAGATGTTGATGATAGCAAGATATATGCTACAACCAGAAACCAAACCGTTTTCTAGCATTTCATAATGAAGCAAAATACCACTGAGAAACTTATTTTTAATTGCAAAACAAAATCATAGTATTATTATGGTTTAATAGCCAATTTAGTCCCCACTTTGGTTGAAAAATCTCAATTTAGTCCCTCGTTATAAAAGTGTTTTACATTAGTCCTAACTTTTAAAATAGTGGGTCAAATTGGTCCCTTTCGTTAAATATAAGTTAACGAAATTAATGGATGACGATGTGACACAGCTTAAAGCTGATGTGTTAGATTGGTCCCTCGTTAGCTTTAAGTTATGTCACATCATCATCCATTAATTTTGTTAACTTATATTTAACAGAAAGGACCAATCTGACCCACTATTTTAAAAGTTAGGACTAATTCAAAACACTTTTATAACGAGGGACTAAATTGAGATTTTTCAACCAAAGTGAGGACTAAATTGGCTATTAAACCTATTATTATATTAGAAGCATCTTAAGTTATCATTGGTTGGTTGAAGAAATAAGTTTAGAATTTTGTTCCTTCCTAAAAGGATAACGCCAAAGAGAAGTATGAAGTTTCCCAATCCACACTTTTAATCGTTACTTGCAAGTCTAACTCACACTTGTTAGGTTAAACTTCAGTCTGCCACAGCCAAATAGGACAAAAAGCTTAATGAACAAATTGAAAACTTTCATTTTTTTTATGATCAGTGTTGTGAAACTGCTCACTGCACTTTGATTTCAACACTGAATTTGATTTTGAGAAATTGAATTTGGGTTTAGAAACAGAACATCAATGAAATGAATGTGATGGAAGAAAAAAAAATGCCAAACCTGATATCTAACAAAATCAATCAACCCAACCGATCTTTACTGAATCATGTTTTTCCCAGTGAAAAGTTCGTGAAGTTGACAAAATACTTGAACTTCACTTTATACACTAGATAGAATTGTCACGGCCAGCATGTATCTACAATCCAAAATTCCAATTTAACTTTAAATACTATATATGTAAAAGAAAAAATTAAACACTCAACTGATTAAATTCTATAATTATATTTCCTATATACTTGTAGGAAAGCAAATAAGCAAAAAGCTAGGTAAAATTAATTTAGATTAGAAATACTTCTACAAAATGAAAAACTATTTCATTTAACATGTCTTGATTCTCAGCAGTTGAATTTTTAATTAATATATCAATGGGAAGTTTTCAAGAGGCATCCGACCATGAACCCTATCTTTGAAAACGACAAACCAGTAGACTTTTCAACTAAGCATCTTCAATTTCAACCGTTAAAACTTTTAATATATATCCAACGGTTTATTTTGATGACAGGTACGGACGGAGCTTAGAAAATAGAAATGAAGAGAGTTAAGAGAACTCTCCTCCTATCAGTTCAACTCATCCAGAACCAGCCCAGTTTCTTGCAGCCAATTCCTTTCCTTTGCGTTTTTGTTTGCTACTCCGATCATCACTTGTTTTGTGTTGAGATCATGGCATTAGCTGTGGTAGGTGGTGCGCTCCTTTCTGCTTTCTTTGACGTTCTTTTCGACAGGCTGGCCTCCCCTGAGGTTCTCAACTTTATCCGAGGAAAAAAGCCTGACAAGTTGCTTCAAAAGGTGAAAACACAGCTCATAGTTGTTAGAGTTGTGCTTGCTGATGCCGAGAAGAGACAAATCACAGACTCCAATGTCAAAGACTGGCTCGATCTTCTCAGAGATGTTGTCTATGAGGTTGATGACTTACTTGATGAAATTTCTACTAAATCTGCTACTCAAAAGGAGGTAAGCAATTCATTTTCTCTCCTTTTCAAAACGAAGAAGATTGTTAGTATTACTAAGTTGGAAGACATAGTTGAAAGATTAGATGACATTTTAAAACAAAAAGAGAGTCTTGATTTGAAGGAGATTCCAGTGGAGAGCTACCAGCCATGGAAAGCTCAGCCAACATCTTTGGAAGATGGATATGCTATGTATGGTAGAGAGAAAGATAAGGAGGCCATAATGAAGATGGTGTTAGAGGATAGCACCAATGGTGAAACAGTGTCTGTGATCCCTATTGTAGGCATGTGGGGTTGGAAAAACCACTTTGGCAAGACTTGTTTCAACGATGGCAAATTGCAGCAGCATATATTTGATTTAAAGGCATGGGTTTGTGTTTCTGATATATTTGATATTGTGAGGGCCACAGACCATTATGAGGAAATTACCCGAAAGCCTTGCAATTGAGTGATCTAATAAATGCTCTTTCAACTTGAGTTGATGGACAAACTGAAAGTAAAAGATTATTGATTGTGTTGGATGATGTTTTGGATCGAGGATTGTGACAATTGTAGTAGTCTTACAAAACCTTTCTAGCGGGAATAGGGGCAGTAAAGTTCTGATCCAACCCGCAAGAAAATGTAGCGGCTGCAGTGCCTTTTCATACTGTTTGAAGTATATCATCTAAACAAATTGGCAAATGAAGATTGTTGGGGTTGTGTTTGCAAACCATGCATTTCCTCTCTCATAAGCCAGTGAGAGTATAGGACTCTAGAAAAGATTGGAAAGGAGATTGTTAAAAAGTGCAACGGGTTGCCGTTAGCCGCACAGTCACTTGGAGGAATGTTGAGAAGAAGCAGACTATTAGGGATTGGAATAATGTACTTCAAAGTGACATTTGGTAACTTCCTGAAAATCAGTGTAAAATTATTCCAGCACTCAGAATCAGTTAATTATCTCCCTCCACATTTAAAACGGTGTTTCGTTTATTGCTCATTGTACCCCAAAGATTATGAATTTAAAAAGATGAACTGATCCAGCTGTGGATGGCTGAAGATCTTGTAAAAGCAGCAAAAAAAGGAAAGACTTTAGAAGAAGTTGGTCAAGAGTATTTTGAGATTTGTTTCGAGATGCTTTTTTCAATCTTCAAGTCGGGTGGGTGATTACTTTGTAATGCACGACTCATTCATGATCTAGCAACATTTCTTGGTGGGGACTTCTATTTCAAACAGATGAACTTGGGAAAGAAACCAATATAGACAAAAGACTCGGCATTTGTCATTAACAAGATTCAGTGATCCAGTCTCGGATATTGAAGCTTTTGACACAGTAAAATTTCCTAGAACTTTCTTGCTAATCGATTATAAAGATTCCCCATTCAACAACGATAAGGCACCGAGTATTATAGTGTCAAGGCTTAAGTACTTGAGAGTTTTATCGCTTTGGAAATTCCGAAGTCAACTTGCTCTGCCTGATTCCGTTGGTGAATTGATACATTTGCGTTATCTAAATCTCTCTCGTACAAGTATAGAAACTCTGCCGGAGTCACTGTGTAATCTGTGCAATCTACAGACTTTGAAGTTGTCTTATTGCTCTGAGCTGACTAAGTTGCCTAGTCCATGCAAAATCTTGTAAACTTGCTGTCATCTTGAAATTGTTGATACTCCCATAAAAGAGATGCCTAAAAGAATGGGGAAACTGAATCAATTACGCACCTTGGATTGTTATGTTGTGGGCAAGCATATAGAGAATAGCATCAAAGAACTGGGAGGACTTCAAAATCTCCATGGTAGGTTTTATATTAGAAATTAGAGAATGTTACCAAAGGCGAAGAAGCATTAGAGGCCAGGATAATGGATAAGAATCATATTAGCAATCTATCCTTGGCATGGTCTATAGCTAACGACAATAGCATCGACTTCCAAGTTGAGTTAGATGTACTCAGCAAGTTAGAACCTCACCAAGATCTGGAAGGAGTTGTCCATATACGGTTATAAAGGAACCAGATTTCCGGAATGGGTGGGGAATTTTTCCTACCTCTACATGACAAGTATAGGTTTATATAAT